AAAAAAAAAAAAAAGAGAGCGAGCTATCAAGCATGAACCAATTGGAAGAGGAAACCTCAACTCCTCAGTAGGGACCAAGACATACTTCATAAAAAAAATTAAACCATAGCTCTGAGTGGCCACTGTTCACATGGACAGAGTCCAGAAAGTTTTGTACCTGCATCTGGAAACTGAGAAAACCTGGACTGGACTAGACTAATTTAGCCTTGTCCTCCATGGAAAGGGGAAGGGCAAGGATTCCCTCTGCATCTTAAAGTTCAAAAGCAGAAGTGGCCCAGGTATAGCTATGGCAAAAACAACAGGGGTTATGTTCCCTCAGCCTAAAGATGACAGATGCTTCTAGGATACCCTTGACATAGGTCAGCATTTCCAAAACTGTTGGGGCTACACAGCAGTAGGGGTCTGATGGGTGAGAAGCATCTCTACACTCCATTATGCTACTGCTCTTCTTCAAGCATTAAAATTTTTGTTTAGCTTCCTCCCTCCCCAACCCAAATGGCTTGAATAACTCAGCTTTCTTAGTGGTTACCAGGACCCCCACTAGGTTTGGCCAATTAGTAGAGCATTCTCTTCATACATTCAAAAGGTGAAAGGTTGCCAAAGGAACAGTCTCCAGTCCCCAGCATGGAAACAGAAGAGCCCAGAGGAGCCAAATACAAAACAGCCAAAGAGAACCATATAGAAAATTTAAAACATGGATCAATTTTGCCAGCTGATCTTATTCCTTTCATCCAACTAAAAGCATCTTGGGGCAACACTCCCACCCAGGAGGAGACTGTCTGCTCCAAAACAGCCTGAAGTCAGCTGCCTGGGAGGAGGAGGAGGAGCAGGAGAAAAACATCTTTAGGTTATCTCCCTCGTAGCAGAAGATACATCAGCAGAGGGTTGCATCGAGCTAGGACCAAGCTCAGCTGTAAAAGAAAAAACAGAATGTTAACATATACTACTTCAACTAGTACAAGTGATTAAACTCAAGTGGTCTTGGGGCAATCGCAAGAATTTGCAGAAGGCTGCAGTTCTGATCAATCTCAGACACACTGGGCATTTATAGACGTGCTCCAGGAGCAGGGCACTTTAATTAAAGTGGCTCAGAGAGCTGCTCTAATTAAAGCGCTGAGAGCATCACGTGCATCAGTGATCCTGCACTGAAAAATGACGGCGGGGCACTAACCAAAGCTCGTGCCGATACATTACCATGCTCCAACCGACTCTGTTAAGCCTCCCTACATATGTATAGGAGCTCATTGTTTCTCAATGGGAGGAGATTAAAAACAAAATAAAAAGATATTCTGGTATTGGTCGCGGTTCCTTTTCATCCAATAGTGTGAGGTGTAGGATTTCCAAACACAGAACTGGAAGGAACCACTCAAGTCACACCTACTGCCCTGCTCTGCCAGGCAACCACTTTATAGAAATCCCTTCATAAGCTGATCCAGCTTCACTTTACCACATTAGGTTGCACGTCCCCACTTCTCTCATGGATGTTGCTCCAGAACTTTATTTGCATGGTTAGAAACCTCTATTTCAAGCCTATATTCATTCATGACCAGTTTATACCCATTTGATCTTGCACCAAGATGTTGAGTTAAATCACAAAGTTGTTCTTCTATAACTAAATAAGCCAAGCTCTTTTCATTTTTTTTTTATCCCGATAGGTTCTCCCTTCCCCAGATCACCCTTTGGTAGCCCTTCTCTGTACCTGCTCCAGTTTGAGTTAGTCTTTTTTGACTATACAAGGGGCCAGAATTATACACACTTTGTCTCAGCACAGTTGTACAAACCTCCAACACTCCTTGCATCTCTCTTCTGGCAATACCCCAACTGATGCATCTTTTGGATAGCTTTACATTTTGTCACTTCACATCCTGCGATCCGCTATTGCGCTCATAGCCTCCATTATTTCCAATGCAAGTGGTCAAAGCTTATAACAGAGGCTTTTATTATGAATATTCCTTAGGGAATCCGAATCTATCCACAACACCCACTTCCCAAAAGAAATCCCCAGTCTACAGGTTATTCTCTTAGCTTTCTCCCTTTAATGCAGCTCCTCCTACTTAAATTAACTGAATTAGAGAAAGCTACGCTAGTAGACACCTGGATCATAGCCCCTGCACCAATGAATGTTCAAGCATTTTATGAAAAAATTAGAGCAGTATCCAGGGCAGAGACTGAAAGCAGCCACCCCAGGATTTCCTACAGCCTATTCTACTAAAATACAGGTTTCTCCAAGATGAATGGAGCTCCCAGGAAACATGAAAGTCTCTTTTCTGGCAATGGAAGAAAGACCAGGCATTTCTGTTCACTTATTGTCTCAATACCCAAGTGCTCAGGGAAGTCATCTCAATTGCAAGGCAGTCATTTAAAAGGAAAAAGGAAGTGATGAAGAAATATACTTTTCTCCCTTCCCCTTCCAGCCACACCCAACTTACATACACACTACATGTATTGCCTTGCACATATCAACACTGCCCTTTCTCCATCCTGAAAAGTGACTATTTAGCCCTACACCATTTCCTATCTTTTAACCAACTTTCAGAAAAGAGCCTTCACCCCAAGCCTGTGGAAACTAAGTAGCCTTTAGTGAAGGACCTTATCAAAATCTTTTGAAAATCTGAAAGTATATCTGGATCTCCCTTGTCCACATGCTTGTTAACACATTCAAAGAACTCCAGGTGGCCTCACCTGCTGCCAACAGGTCTGCAATTTCACCTTTGAGTTCCTGCAGAAAGCTAAAAGAAAAGCAGGGCTAACACATTCCAGTGAACAAGCATGGCTAATGTTGAAAACATATCCTCCCAATCTCATCTGCCCCATCCACTGCCTACATGTAAACAGCATTTTGTTTAGACCAGTAGGGTGCCAGTGGTGGAACTATACTGATCTAATTAAAGGAATGCATGCCCCCTCCTGGAAACGCATAAACCTAGCTTTACATGAAGTCTATCAGAGATAAATCTATAACATGTGCCTGAAGGTCCTAGGGGTGCCTCTCCAGTGTGATCCGAGAGCAAGCTCAGAGGGGTGCCCCCAGAGTTATTCATCTGGCGAGGAGAGGATCCTATAGCCATCTGTAGGTCAGTAAAGTCTAACGCCCAAGAACAGAATTAGGCCTAATGCTGGCCTTTGCTTTAAAATGAAGCTGTTGAGCCACTAGGAACATCCAACTCTTGGCATCAAACTCACATTCACCCCCTTTCAAGGCTCTCTCCAAAAGTGCTATGAGGTTTTCCACATTTGCAGGCAAAGGGAAAAAAAATACCATTGAACCTAGGCACCCTAATCATGAAGCAGAACAATAATGTACTAGGCACACCAGTACCCTGCTTCTTCAGTGCTCCTAGCGCTACTCCAGAGAAGAGCTCTAACTGAACAGCTGGAGAACAGCTCTTGAAATTGAGGTGGCAGAGTACTCGGGCAAGCTCTTTAGAGCTAGGGCAGCACAATTCTGTGCCTGGTACAGACACAGGGTGCCCAAGGAAGTCCTGGCTCCTGCAGTGCTGGGTGCTGATCAATGCTGCAGCAATGGCTGCTTTTGCACCTCCTCGCCACCCCAAAAGGTGGCACCCAGGACTGCACCAGCTACACAGAAAAAAAAATCTAGCAGAAAGAACTACAGCATCCCCTTTCTACCTCTCCCCTCTAAGAACAGCTTTGAAGATATGTCTGTAGCAAAAAAAAAAAGCAAACAAAGTACAAGTCCCACAACACTTTATACCACTGTGCACTTGAATGAAAACATCTGTTCTACACAAAGGGCGCTAAAATCAGTAAAGTAGACAAATCTCTAAGGATATCGATCCAAGATGCATCTCACCTTCCTCCTCCCTTAAGGACTGGGACCAACAACTTTAGGACCTCACAGCACAAGCTAGAACAGCAGATATCAAAGGATGTCAACTGATAGTCCCAGCACACTCTCCTATCCTCACTTCCCTCTCTGCACTTCTTTCAGGACACCTGATACTATGCAACATTGGGAACTGAAGGATTCATGGATTTGTGATGTACTTCTTAGCCAAGCCAGATCAGCATGTTAAGAGCACAGTGATAGCTGGAGGCAAAGTTTGATCAGTGACACTTCGGAACAGAAGGTTGGTGCCAGGGATGAATGGATGAAATAAGCCAGGTGGTAACTCTCGCTCCCTACCCACACAAGGCTGGGAGATTCCACAATGCCATACCTCAGACATATCATGCATCACTATTCCTGTGGCCCCTATTCTAATCAGCCCCGATTCCTTATGAAGGGGAAGCTTTGCTCCTAGACATGGTGGTCAATACAGACACTGCAGAGTACAATAGTAATGAGAAGAAGTCAAGGGGTGAAGGTTATGTACTAAGCGGTGGAAGTGACTGGATGTGCTCCAAGGGGAAACATTTGGCTGCAAAGTTCAGATCAAGATCTCAGACAGCTCAGATCCAGGGGTCAGGTTTGGCTGCTGATTAAACAGAATTGTTTATTATTTAATCTAGAGGTAAATGCAATGACTTGATTTATCTTGAGGGATTGTGGAAGTAAGAATGAAGAAACAGTTTAGTGCTTGAGGCAAAGAACTACCATGTAGAACTATTCAAACAAGTCTGACAAGGCCGTTTTGCACTGAAACATGCAGTTTGTTGAAAACATCCCAGCTTTCACAGGGATGTGTCAGTTTTGCCAGCTATGAGGAGGGAAAATGTCAAAACATTTTGTTCTACATTCATATAGACACTGCTCCTTTATCAAATACAAGTATAAAGATGTTTTGAATTCTCATTTGGCAGACATTCTGAAGTTTCAACTTTCGTTGTTCCAGATCTGAACAAAAACCAAATCTCAGCCCATCAGAAATTCCTAGAGCATGAAAATGCTGGTTTCTAACCAGCTCTCTTGCTGGGCAAGCTGACTCAGCAGGCTTCTAATGTTCTTCCCATCAATACATCTCAAATCCTGAATGACAGTCCTAAATGGCAGACCATCCATATTCTCCTGCTGCGTCTTCATGACGTGTATACATGTAATCTAGAAAGCAATTTAGACAGCTTGAGGGGATAAGGTGTGAAAGGACTGCATTGTTCCTCCCTCTGCAAAATAAAAGCATCGCTTCCAAGCCCGACTAGGATGCTTCAGGGCTTTGGGACTTAGAGACCTTGTAGACAACAGCTTGAAGCTTGCCACCATTTTCCTGATCCCAGTGGCAGGCCCAGACAGCACAGCACTAAAAAGTTAAACAGATGGTTGCCAAAAATAAAAATTTTGTATTTTTTTTCCAGGGGATTAAAATGCTGATCACTGTAACACCACCTCATGAACGAGCTTCACTTCACCCGCAGACTCCACCTCCACCCATACTACCCAAGCCTGGAAAAGACAACCTTAGGCTCCAGAGACTCTTGAAGAAAGCTGCAAAGAAAGCAACCTTAGCTCCACAGCAAGCCAAGTTGTTCCAGTCTAGTCTCTCCCCGGTGAGCGAAGCCAGCCCAGACCTAGAGCACAGCGACCGCTCCTCCCTAGTAAAGACCCCAGAAACCTCAACCCACCTCACCATCAACCTCCCTCCCCGCTTTTCGATCAAGCCCATCTTCCACCATGTCCCGATGCCTTTCCTGAAGAGCAAGCCCTTCACGTTCACGGTAACAGAGCAAAGAAGCATCTCTGAACATCTGAAGCTCACGGTCTCTCCGGCACCATCCCCAGTGCACAGGCAAGGTACTCCAGAGTCAGTCATGCCCAGCCAGCTTTCCCATCCCCAGACACATTCTGTATTTGTTTTCCCTGAGCCTCCTGTCTCTGTCACACCCATCGTCACAGAAGCTCCAGTGGAGGTTACCCATGTCAGCAAAGTGCACACGTACTTCCATAGCGTACAGTCACCCAGGCCTAAGACTCCTCTCTCAGACCAGGTCCCTAAGCCCCTCAGTGATGAAATGCAGAGGCCTTTGCCCACCCCTCCAGAGACAAGCCACTTGGGACAGACACCAGTCTCTCTCAACACTGGTGAGGCTCAAATTGCCACTCCCAAGTCAGAGCCCTCCATCCTTCCTTCTGTGACAGTAGAGCTCCCCTACCAACCCCCCAGGCCTGCAACTCCTAAAGAGCCCAGTGGGGACACTCCTAAAGATGCCCAATGCAAGAGACCTGCAACTCCCAAAAGTGATATGGAAAAATCTAAAACAGAGCAGGCTTCCAAACCCCATGAGCCGCACAGTGAGAGTCTAAAGCAACCGCCTCCCAGTGCAGCTCAGAAGCAAGATGCCCCAGTGGCCATGATGACAAGTGACACCACCAGGGCTTCCTCCACAGAAGCAAAGGAGGAGCACATCATTCCACCGCAGCCCACTGCAGCCTTTTCCAGTGCTGGCCCTCCACCCAGAGCTGAGCTGACACTACCATCTGTGGATAAGTCTAAGCCCCCTAGAGTTGGTCTCAGAGGCTGGTCTCGCCTTAAGAAGCACTTGATAGTGGAACCAGAGGAACCCAAGTTCCCCGAACCTGAGCCAGCCATGCCTAAACAGGAGGAAGGAGGAAAAAAGAAGTCAGACCTCTCTCAAGGGAGCACCAGCGACAGGCTCGCTAAACCAAGGGCCACCAGGATGTGGGATGCCATATTATATCAGATGACGACAAGCAAGATGAGAAAGCAGCAGGACGAAGACAAAGGGGTGAGGAAGATGGAGGGATTTCCATTCCGGTGCCGCTTGCCTCTTCTTCTTCACAAACCACGCTTTGATGCCCGGAAGTTGAAGGAGCTGGCTTCCAAACCAATGACAAGGATCACCACCGTGTTCGAGCTGAGCCTGCTCCACCGCAAGCCACCCGAGGAAGACCCCAAAAACTTCAACAGGACTGCATCAGGGTGGCAGGTAAACTGAAGCCAGCTGAATTCCACTGTGGCAACTAATGCTTCACCCCTCCCTCATGCGGGTCCTCCAGGATTCAGGGCAAGCTCCGCACAGGAAAGCATCTTATAACCAGGCTTCTCTGCTGAATGGAGCCACATGCAAGAAATAAATAAAATCCTTCACACCCAGCAACCTTATCCTGAGGGTTTTAGGGGTTACTATGTCTGCATACCTAGAGTTATACATATATGAAATGCACTTAACTTCCACCACTGTGGGTTCAGAACCCACAAAGAATACAGTGACACATACACGAAGACCAGAGACCAGAAAGGAAAGCAGTGAAGAGACCTGCAGAAAAAACACCCATGTAGTAACTTTTAAATTTACGTATAGGAAGGAGATGGGATCTTAAGAATTTTTCTTACAGCATTACAGGAGGCACTAGTCTGGAAACAGGATAGGTTGTGGCAATGCAGATCTCTCTGCACTACATTAAAATGTAAAAGTTGTCTCCTCCTGGGCTGTAGTTCCAGCTTGTTAAAAGTACAGCTCCTGAACCACTGAGTTTATTGCTTCTTCAATGAAGCAGCTAATGGAGGGCTTCAATTCCTGCTCACTTGGAACGAGAGACAGAAATTAATTCCCTTCATGTCAAGCATAGTCAGGGGTCAGAATGGAGCTATGATGCACGCTTCTCTACTACTACCGAGTCCAGAAAGCTGCATTTCATTAGTTTTCAGTTTTATAAACGAGGTCTGCTTCCAAGTAAATATTAGGTTATGGAGTATAGGGAGCTCTTTCTTGTAACGTTTAGAGATAGTCTCAGTTTCAAATGTGTTTGAGTAGCACCTGTTGGGGAAGAATATAGGAGGGACTAGCAATTGTGTACTTCAGTTTTTGGATCTCCAGCTTGAGATACTTTAAGGGCCAGGTTTTCAGAAGATAGGCACTGAGCACTTTTGGAAGCAAGCATGTGGAAATCAGGCCCTACACGGGCAGGTCAGAATGGACAAAGACATCACCAGTCACAGTTGAACGTCTTGACCTCTGCAAATAGGCCAATACATAAAAAGGGCAAGGGCGAGGGATGTGCAAGCATGCGCACACACTCACAAAACTGAAGCCTTCCTTAAAAGAAGTTGTTTCCAGACCTGTCCAAAAGCAGCCTCTTGCACATGCATAAAATGTCTTATAAAGTCTGTCATTTATTTGGCACTGTAATTTTGGGTTCAGGCAGGGAACTCTGGGACTGAATTTTCAAGCTACAGCAGCTCCACCACCTTGCCACTGCTATAGCCAAAGGGTCAGTTTTGCATCCTGTTGCCATTTTCAGGTACATCATAAGAGTGTTACAGCCTGTATTTTTGCTGATGGCTTAAATATTTGTTACCCACTAAGCACCCAATCCAGACAGTGAAAGGGATAACAAGATAATCTATAGTCAATGAAAGACAGAAGGTCCTGATGGGATGGAAGCCTCATGCTTCAAGGCATAAGTTAGCCTCTAGCTATTGGGTATTAAGATAACATTTCCTCTGGGGTCAGGTTTTTCCTAGAATTGCCTACTGCAGAGTTCCTCACACCTTCCACCAATTCAGCTGAAGATGGCTGAACAGATGGACATAAGGTCTCATCTGCAGTAGCAATTCTTCAGTGCTCTCCTTCTCCCTCCAAGGTATCTAGCGTTAGCCACTATTAGACAAGACACCAGACTACAAGGAAGGCTAGGCTATTCAAACATGGCAGCTCCTTTGATTTCTTCAGGAATTTGGCTGAAAGGTCACAGGTGGCAGCTGACAGGAAGGGCACATTATAGTGACCAGCTGATATCGACTGCAATGCTGCTATTCTTCCTGCTGGTCAAGCAGGATAGCCCACCTGCAACAAGTGGACCTGTTCTCACTTCTGCCTTAAGATGGGCTACTTAGCAACAAGGATACTCCATGCATTTGGGGCACCCTTTGAGCAAGTAGCCTTCTCCAAGCAACCTTAGTTCAGCTCCATGCACTGGGCAATGCAGGAGACAGGCATGTACTCCCTCCACAGAAGACATCACATCTTCCAGGCCAGGGCAGTTCAGCCTTCTCCCAAACCTAACCCAGCCACAATAATACTCCAGCAGTAGCTATAGTGCACTATGGCCAAGGCACAACTTGGCGAGACCTAGGATTTTTTGGTGATCATCAGATCTTAGCAATGTAGGAAACAATGACAAATCCAGGACTGATGCTCCTTTGACACCTCCTATTTCTTCTACTGCTTTTTGTCCAT